TTACAAATAATCAGCGATTGTCTTTGAGGTGCTGTAGTCAATGAACCGAAAAAAGTGACAAAAGATTTCACGACTCAGCTGTCATTCCATATACAGTAAAAACGCTAGGCTTACAACGCAACCTCGCCATAAGGGGAGGGGGGGAGGGTTTGGCAAATAATGCGTATCAGTGGGAAAAAAACCGGCTACGCCCCTGTTTCGTCGCTGGTAAATTCTTTGATTTTATTAACCCTTTAACTCCTAAAAGTGTTTGAAAAGTAACTTCTCCCCAATATATCCATTTATTATCCAGCAAATAGGCAATTAGAGTACTCAAACTTATCAAGTTGAAGTTGCTATCTTCATCTAACACCAAATTGTCATATTGGGTGGCTATTGCCTCGGGAAACTCTTACGCTTCTTTCCTGTTCTCCAAACTTCCCACGTGCTCCATAACTCGATACTGCACGCTAAAGCATGAACCAATTGTTAATGAAAAAAATCTTAAGAAATATATATCATTTGACGTTGCATAAAAGTGATCATGAGGCAAATAGGAAGTGCTAACTTTATATCCTTATTTGTTTCACTTGCATGTAATAAATCAAAGCGTCTTGAGGGTTTCTTTAAGACAAAAAATTGCATGCAGATAGTCCCACATAAAAGCTTGATTGAAACACAACATAGCGGGCTAATTTCGACAAAACATATTTTAAGGACAGATAAAGAAGGCGAGTTTTTTATATCGGCTAAATTGAAAATTATGAGTTTTACGTTTTCTCACTCGGCTTTACGGGAAAAAGACGTTTGCAGACGTTTGCAGTTGTTAGTTCGCGGGCTGGATTGTACGTAACGCAGACATCAAGGATATTGCTCTCCGTTAAAGACTAAATAGCAACACGTTAACTTTTGACCTCGTGGCCAAACGGAGACTAGCAGTACATAGCGGTCCAAACGTCGCGATCAATACCCAGGTGATTAACTGGACTCTTACATCGTGAGACAAACCAAGAAACTTTCATTTATTCTTCACTTTGTCTGCAGGAGAAGTCATGTAACCGTAGATGAGCATGCTGTTTTAAGGGGGAAAATGGGAACGAAACTATGGCACAGTGAACAAGATTCCGACAACTTTTTTTATTCCAGATGCCTTTGTTACCCCAGCAGTCCTTATCAGATTGTAGGGTTGTGGGTTTAGAAAGGAAATATTCTGTATTTTCTCTTATCTCAGCAAGTAGAGAAATAAACTCAATGATTAAACTAAAAAGAGAGATGATTCAAAATTATGTTAATTACCAGACGTTCTAAGAATAAGACAAACTGAAATACTAAGCTTTGATATAACTTGTCTGGTAGGTTATCTTTTAATTCTCTCGTATGAAATGGATAGATAGATAGATAGATAGATAGATAGATAGATAGATAGATGGATAGATGGATAGATAGATAATAATCTTTAGACAGGGTGCGTTCTCACAGAAGTGGTTTTCAGAACGGCCCTGTAAGCACCCACCCAACCCACCCCAGGGGAGGACATCCATCACACAGTATACTCGTGCGTGGGAAATTAACGTCTCCTACCCCTAACCCTGCAGGAGACGGGACCTCCATTTATTCGTCCCTATCCGAGAAGACTAGAATATCTAACCATTTCTTGATGTTACAGAAAGGAAGCATATTCTTCTCAGTTATTTTAAGACCTTGAGTGTTGGTCCGGCCGGGGCTCGAACCCTCGACCTCCCGCACAACAGTCCAGCGCTCTATCCATTGAGCTAACCGGGAGGCGGTTTAACTCCACTTCGGTGAATAGTTGTTGCCTACACGTAAACTTAATGAATCGTAAAACATAT